GTAAAACATTATATTCTAAATAACATTTTGTTCAAATGACCCGCTTGGACTTCTTGCTTGTTTTCTACATAGGACAGAGGCTTTTCCTAAACGAGTAAAAACATTAATTACTTAATGAGTTTTATAATCAAGTATTCTCTAATAAGTTTTGTAGTTTTGAATAAAATTTATTCTATTTACGTCGTAACTGCAAGCATATAATATAGAGACAAAATTTTAAGGTTAATTTTAAATCAGGGAAATAAATAGACAACCAATTATTGTCAAAATGAAATTATTATTTGCTGGTTTTACTTTGCTCTTGTGTACATGAGCTTATTTATTATTTAACTTGTTTTTGATTCAAATATTGCTATTTTAGGTATTGTAGACATGCTAGGGTTTTTAATTGTGCATGATATTATCAATACATTCATAATTGTAAATCATCTATATTATTTTGTCCTTTTTTACATAGGTAATTGAAATATTGTAATCAGTATTGATTTTTATTTTCTTGTTTTAACTCATCTAATGACTTAATAGACAGAAATAATTTTGCTAAAGAAATTTTGTCTCCTCCCTTCAGTAGTGTTCTAGTATTATGCAAATTTGAGAAAGTTTATTCTGTACCTTAGAATCACCTGCTATTAGGCGGCCAGTATACATATACCAGGCGATGTCGGATGCATGGCTGTTACATTCCGTCTGGACTGTAATACTAAGCCCGCAAGACCCAACATTGTAGGCTTAGTATAACAATCTTTTTTAACACCCTTTGGGTCCAGACTAATAAAATGATAAATATTGTTGCCATTATATACATATTATATTATATTTTTCAGAGTAATCAAATTCGTAACTTAAGTTTAAATACATAAATAATGATATAATGTTATTGCAATTTTTAAAATATCAGTAAATAAAGCTTCTTCTTTTATTTGCAACTATCCCAAATTGAATCTGATTTATGGGCAACAACGTTTTTGCCTACCGATCGACTAACATGTTTCAAATATAAGCAAGCTCTAACTAATTTTTAATATCTTTATCTTACGAGGAAACTGAAAAATTATTAAATATAGATAGTTAAAAATGCAAACTGTTAAGCAAAATAATAACACACACTCACTCCTTTCACACACACACTCACACTCATATACTACACACTGGCATCTACGTATTAATTTTACACTTACTTCTAAACTTTTAATATTGGTTTATGATTAACAAATCTCCAATATTAAATGAACATTTTGCATATTATATTTTATTATTTTAAGAAAATGAAATTTTAACTGAGTCACTACTCGCTAAGTTTCAGTTATTTCTATGTGAAATATAGAATAAGTTCTTGTAAATGTTTACTATAACATTTGGATATTAATATAAGTGTGTGACACATTTATAGAATATCTCTCCTGTCTTACTCTTGTACCATACAACTAAACATTTAGCTATAATAGTATTGAGCCATTTGTCGGATTAGAACATAGCACATAGCTAATTATTTTACTTCTTCCCACTTTTATTCATTTCTTGATTGCGGTAAAATTGTTTTTATGTTTTTGTTTTTCTATTTGATATGTATTTAATGGGGAGGGCTTAGCAGCTGTAACACAGGTCTGTGACCTAGCACGGTTGAGTTAGGTTCTCGTCATATGGAATGGTAATGACGACCAAAAATATCCTTGACTGTGCCCGGTCCATCAGCACAATATCAGGTTTATTCGCAAGAATAGTCCTGTCTATAATGATGGCCCGATCCCAGTAGAGCCTGGCGCGGTCATTTTCGAGCACGGCTTCCGGTAAGTACTTATAATAAGGCAGTTTCCGATCCACGAGACCGTATTTCAGAGCGAGCTCCTGGTATAGAATTCTGGCTACTAGGCTGTGTCTATGTAATACGTACTTTGACATTCCTAAGTGACCCACCGGGACGGCGGCAAGCTTATTATTACTCTTACGAATGTTTGCGTGTGCAGTAAAATCACTTACAATGCATTACTGCGCATTTTGAATTTAAGAGATAAAAGGATACAAAGTTTGAGATTTTTTTTAAATTGATTTGTCTTTAACGGCCTATATTAGTTATCTTGTACCTTCTCTGCAAATTTGACCGGTTATCACAAAATAACCCTGTATAATTTCCAAGGAAGCACAGATTATTGGAATAAGCCTAAACTATGGTAAGCTTTGTAAAATTTTGAGAGAAATGTGGTGCATGCTTTCTTATTTCTTTCTCATATATATAATTAGTAGAACATGTGGAAGAAAAATTTCCTGTCACTTAAAACACATTATGAAGATGGCAGTGACAAACTAAATTATTTGATAAACAGTTTTCTACATTTCTTTAAGTTATGTATTTTAAGTGAATAAATAATTAGAAATTTGTATTGTATTTTATTATGTTCTTTTATATCGAGCTCTGGGACAGGTAATCTAAAAAAATACCCCAAAAGAAGGACAAAATTTTTCCGCCTCACGAGAGAATTGCAGATAATCTTGATGGAATTTGTGGAGATATATACCACATTTAATAGTTTCACTCAATAGTGCCTCTCAATGGATAGATCATAAGATGAACATGGACAAAACAAATATCATGTTTAATGTCCGTGTCACACCTATGTCGGTAGTTGTTGGGAGCACTAAGCTGGAAGTTGTTGACGAGTACGTTTACCTGGGACAAATAGTCTGACTAGGTAAGTCCAACTTCGACCGAGAGGTCAATCGACGGATTCAACTCGGCTGGGCAGCGTTCGGGAAATTACGACGCATCTTCTCGTCAGGTATACCTACCTCAAAACCTGAAAACAAAGTTGTACCACCAGTGCGTGTTGCCAGTGATGACCTACGGAACCGAGACGTGGTCCTTCACTGCTGGCCGTATGAGGACGCTCAAAGTCGCTCAGCGAGCTATGGAGAGGGCTATGTTCGGAGTTTCTCTGCGTGATAGACTCAGAAATGAGGATATCCGCAGTAAAACCAGAGTGACCGACATAGCCAAACGGATTAGTAAGCTGAAGTGGCAATAGGCCGGCCATATAGTTCGAAGAACCGAAAACCGTTGGGGAAAAAAGGTTCTCGAGTGGCAGACTCGTACCGGTAGGCGAAGTGTAGGACAACCCCTCACTAGATAGAGTCACGACCTTGTAAGACATGCACGTAGTCGATGGATGCAGGTGGCTCAGGACCGTGCTTTGTAGCATACCTTGGGGGAGGCCTATGTTCGGCAGTGGACTTGTGAAGGGTTGTAATGATGATGATGATGATACCACATTTATATTTTGTATTAAGTTATCATTCGTCTCCGCTGGGGTTGATAATGTTTTGTGATGTTTATCAACTAAATTGGATAACAGAAAAACACGATTTATAACAAAACGCGAAATATAAAAAAACAACAGTGCGAACGCTAACGTTGACAAATCTATAGATAAACAAGTAAAATATCAATGTTGTAATCAATGCGAACACAGCTAAAAACAAATCTTGATATCTGTTGAAAATTTTACACAGTTTTTGTGAGTGCGAACGCTACCATCAACAAAACATGTTGTGTGATTTATTTTATGCGATTTGTTTCAAAACATTACATGTTGGATGTTTCTCAGTGCAAACGTACTGTTACAGGTCAGCATTAAAAACTTTATTCAAACTGCCAAAATTTTCTATCAAACTCTTTGCTATCGGCTTTACATCAATTCTACTGTATGCTGAATATAAAATGTGTTCTAAAGCTTCATAATCAAGTAATGATTGTCTATTATCTAAAATAATTTTCTCTCTTAGGCGCTTTCTATGCCTCTTTTCGTAATTTTTCATCATTAGTGAATTGCTTATGTCTTGTATAATAAGAAGTTAGATTTTTAAGTAAAATATTTAATAAAGCGGATGAAGTACAATTGTAAAAACATTAATTTTTAAGACAGTAAATGGTGTCATCAAAGTAGCTGACGCGAGCTCTACTTCATACCGCAATTTATTCCCGTTATCTCAGCAAATCAAGCTAACACGTAGCGGGATGACGATTGTCAGGGTGTCACCCAAGTACTCCTATAATGTCATCCGAGTAGCCTGGGATCCAGGAAACACTGGGATCCAGGAAACTTAACTCTATACCAAGTAAATGTACAATAAGAACTAGATTCCAGCGTCATGCGCTGGAATGACATCATAGGGGCTACTCGGATGACAAAAAAAGGAGGCTACTCGGATAACACCTTTCTTGGGCTCTTTTAGCCATAAATATTTAAGAAATTTACCAAACGAAAAAAAGGCAAAAGAAGCCCCGTGGTTATTATCCGCTTTAAAATATTGGCGTTTTTTCTGTTTTAAACTCTTGACAAGAGAAATTAAGCTGTTTTTAATTGCAACTAACCTACGCTACAAATGTTTAAGAAATTTACCAAGTAGAAAAAAAGACAAAGAATCCCAGATTTAGCTAGTCTTTTACTATCTCTGTCGAGTATTGGCATTTTTTGATGTCTTGTAACGCTTTATAAGCGCGTTCAGCTTATTTAGATAAAAATCTGGATGTAGATGAAGTTCTGTAAAGACATATAGTATCTATATACTGCAAAAAATCAAAGATAAGACGCCGATACATTAAGTAATCCTTACCTTTTAATCTGCAGATTGGCGAAAGTAAATACAATAGCTTCACTGTCATGATAAGGGGGCTGTAGGAGTTTGCCAAGCAAGTTTTATGCAAGAGATCTATTAAAATGCCCCTGTAAAATTATACTATTAATTAGTGCACTGTAAATTTAAAATTATATAAATTATAGACATGTTAAACAGATTGGTAATTTTGCTATTAGTTTTTATAATTCCTTTTGCTTCATACTCATACCAGTTTAGAACCAAAGCAAAGCAAGCATTAGTCTTAGATTTAGCTTCAGACTCGTTCATTTTTGACCATAATTCCGATGAAAAATGGCCCCATCTTCAATGAGCAAGTTAATGACTTTATATATATAGCCTTCGATTATCTAAAAGCTGGAATAATAAATATGGAGGATAAATTTCGAGTAAGCAGAAAAGCGTGGGAAAGAAAAGGCTCTTCTATGTTTTTGAAAGAAGGTCAATACGTTACGGTGAGGGAATTACTTGAAGGAATTGCAATAGTCTCAGGTAACGATGCCTGCATAACACCAGCTGAGGGTATTGCAGAAGAGAATTTTGTGGCTGAAATGAATGAGGTTGCACAAAATTTGAACCTGAATGACAGTCATTTTGTCAACTCAAGCGGGTGGCCAGATGGAGACCATTTTATGAGCGCAAAAGACTTGGTAATGCTGGCAAAAAGGATTTTCACTGATTTTCCTGAATATTACGATTTATTTTCTGAACAATATTTGCCATATAACGAAATTGCACAAAATAATAAAAATCTTCTACTTTTTCACGATGGTTGACGGTTTAAAAACCGGTTATACAAATGCTGGTGGTTATGGCATTGTAGCATCTACAAAATGAAATGATAGGAGAGTTTTTGCTGTCGTAAATGGTTTAAACACTGAGAAAGAGCGAATAGAAGAAGCAAAAAAGACTGATACAATACTCCTTAAAGCATTTTAATACTAAGAAAATATTTGCTAAAGACAGTGTAGTGGAGGAAGTAAATGTTCTCTATGGAAAAGATAAAAAAGTGCCTATTACAGTTGCAAAGGATGTTACTTAACTTACAACCGCAAATTGCGTGACCAAATTAAGGTGCGTATCGAATATAAAGATATGATACCTGCACCCATTAAAAAAGGTCAAGAAGTGGGCAAAGTTTTTGTAGAAATACCAGGTATTGAGCAACAAACCACACCTATTTATACAGCAAATGACGTACAGGAATTGAATTTTGTAGAAAAGTTTTTTAGAATATTATTTTAAGTTTAATATATTGGCTTTCTTTTTTTAAAACTTTATCAAACTTCTCTAAACAGCACCATCTTTCCATTTACGTTTTGCGCTTCTTTCGTTTCATCCATTTTAGTACTAGGTTTTAATATGCTATATGTAATACCACCAACTGCTAGTGCCGCTGCTGTAATTATAGCTGCTGCTGTAATTATATCATTACGGACATCAATTCAACTGCAACTATCCCAGTTGCAAAAAGTGTCACGGCTATAGCAGCGCTTAATAATGCAGTTGCACAACCGGCAATAATACCGTTTTAATCGCCTTCTTTTCTAAAATTTGCTTTATATATCTGTATTTATCAAGATTCATTGAAGTTTTACGATCTTTATCCTTTAATGAAGGAACTACTCCATTTTCTATTAAGACATCTATTACCCTTGCATTGAAATCGCCTAGAGCTGCAGCATGTAATGGAGTCCTTCCATTTTTATCTGCCAAATTAACGTCTGCTCCATTTATTATTAGGATAGTAAAACTATGTTCATTTAAGCAACCCATACCAGCAAAGTGTAAAGGAGTCTCACAATCCTTATTTACTGCGTTAACATCTGCACCTCCTTTTACTAAAGCCTTTATAACTTCTTCATTATATGTCACAGCAGCAAAGTGTAAAGGAGTCTCTCCATTGTTATTTACTACTTTAACATTTGCTCCTGCTCCTATTAAAATGTTAACTACCTCTTTATGACCACTCAGAGCAGACCGATGTAAAGAAATTTTACCATTCTCGTCTGCTGCATTAAAATCTACCTCTTCTACCTCTAGTAAATAATTTACTAACTTGCTATAGCCATTTTTAGCAGCTAAATTCAATAATGTGTACTTGTAATTTTTTATATCTAAATCTGCTTCACCCTTGGGCCTTCACGATAAAGCTTTCCTATTGCAAACCAGTAATTCACATCAAAATCAGCTTCTTCCCACTTTTAATACTCACCTTCTTCTGCTGCTTTTAATTTCTCTTTTATTTTTTCAATTACGTCATCATTATCATCATCATTACAGCCCTTCACAAGTCCACTGCTGAACATAGGCCTCCCCCAAGTAATGCCACAAAGCACGGTCCTGAGCCACCTGCATCCATCGACTTCCTGCATGTCTTACCAGGTCGTCACTCCATCTAGTGGGGGGTCGCCCTAGACTACGCCTACCGGTACGAGGCTGCCACTCGAGAACCTTTCTTCCCCATCGGTTATCGGTTCTTCGAGCTATATGGCCGGCCCATTGCCACTTCAGCTTACTAATCCGTTGGGCTATGTCGGTCACTCTGGTTTTACTGCGGATATTCTCATTTCTGAGTCTATCACGCAGAGAAACTCCGAGCATAGCCCTCTCCATAGCTCGCTGAGCGACCTTAGGCGTCCTCATACGGCCAGCAGTGAAGGACCACGTCTCAGATCCGTAAGTCATCACTGGCAACACGCACTGGTTGTACAATCTAATTTTTAGAGATTGAGGTATACCTGACGAAAAGATATGCCGTAATTTCCCGAACGCTGCCCAGCCGAGTTGAATCCGTCGATTGACCTCTCGGTCGAAGTTGGACTTACCTAGTCGGATTATTTGTCCCAGGTAAACGTATTCGTCAACAACTTTGAGCATAGTGCTCCCAACAACTACCGGCATAGGTGTGACATGGACATTGAACATGATCTTTGTTTTGTCCATGTTCATCTTAAGACCTATCCGTTGGGAGGCACTATTGAGGTCATTGAGCATAGTGCTTAAGTCCTCCAGCGATTCTGCCATAAGGACTATATCGTCGGCAAATCGAAGGTGAGTGATGTACTCGCCATTGATGTCAATACCGTATCCTTTCCAGTCCAGTAGCTTGAAAACGTCTTCCAATGCAGCGGTGAAGAGTTTCGGGGATATAACGTCACCCTGTCTTACACCTCTCTGCAGTTGGATAGGTTTCGAGCTCTGGTTCTGTACTCGGATAGCCATCGTAGCCCTACTGTACAAACACTTCAGCACTTCGATATACCGACAGTCAACTTGGCACCGCTGAAGGGACTGTAGCACCGCCCAAATTTCGACGGAATCAAAGGCTTTCTCACAGTCCACATACGCCAGGCAAAGTGGCAGATTGTACTCTTCAGTCTTCTGTACAGTCTGCCGCAGGGTATGTATGTGGTCTATGGTACTGAAGCCTTTTCGGAAACTGGCTTGTTCGGGAGGCTGGAAGTCGTCAAGTCTGCGTGCGAGACGATTCGTAATGACTCTCGAAAACAGCACGTAGACGCGGCTCAGAAGGGAAATCGGTCTGTAGTTCTTTAAGAGAGCGTTGTCGCCTTTCTTAAAGAACAAGACCACCGCACTTCTGCTCCACGCCTCTGGAGTAGTGCCACCATGGAGGACGGAATTGAAGAGCTTCTGAAGGACTTCAAGTACCGGTGTTCCACCCGCTTTCAGAAGCTCCGCTGTAATTCCATCCTCGCCTGGGGCCCTGCCGTTTTTAAGGTGCTGGAGAGCCATTCTAATCTCGCTTAGACTGACGTCCGGGATATCATCGGAATAGTGTCGGATAAGACTTGCTCTTGGATCGTTACTCACACTTGCGTGTGGCTCCAACGATGATGTGTACAGCTGCCCATAGAACCTCTCAATCTCACTCAAAATCTCAGGTGTCCCGGAAACGATGTTGCCACACTCAGTCTTCAGCCTTGACAGTTGGCTCTTTCTGGCAGACAGATCTCTGGCAAAGACTTTGGAGCCCTGGTTCCGCTCGATCGCTTCTTTAATACGAGAAGAATTAAAGTTGCGTAAGTCTCGCCGTATGCATTTGGAGATCTGTCTGTTCAGTTGCCTGTATGCTGTCAAATCTGTTGACGATTGCAGCCTCATCTCCCGTCTAACAGCCATGAGATTAAGAGTGTGATCGGAGAGTTTTTGTGTTCTTCTGCGACGGGTCTTGCAGAACTTAGCTCCGACCGCATGGACAGTTTCCACGAGCTTGTCGTTCATATCGTCCACTGCATTGCAATCTTCTAGGCACTGGAAGCGGTTACGTAACTCGAGCTGAAAGGTTTCGGGATTCTGGATTAGAGCACGAGGGGGACGGAGCGTTGACTTCATTAGACGAGACCTCTCCAACTTAACGTTTAGGTTCAGTGTGCCTCTAACCATTCGGTGATCGCTGCCAGTTTTCACCCTTGCGATCACTGAGACATCACTGAACAGTTGGCGTCTGGTCGTCATAATGAAGTCAATCTCATTTTTTGTCGAACCGTCGGGGCTCGACCAGGTCCACTTCCTGTGGGGCCGCTTCTGGAAGAAAGAGTTCATCATAAAGAGTCCCTCTTTCTCCATAAAGTCGGCTAGCTGCTGGCCCCTTCGGTTCCGTTGCCCTACTCCAAATTTCCCTACCTTCAGCTCACCGCTTTCTCTTGTGCCCAGTTTTGCGTTGAAGTCTCCCATCAACACCGTGTAGTAGGTTTTGGAGGAATGTATGGCTCTGGAAATATCCTCATACATTTCCTCCACCTCCTCATCGGGATGTGCCGAGGTTGGTGCGTAAACCTGAATGACCTTCAGCGAATACCGTTTGGTGATTCTGAGTATCAGGTACGCGACCCTCGTCGACACACTCCCAATCTTTACAACGTTGTTGACGAGAGATTTGTGGACGATAAATCCGACACCTCCTTGGGACAGATGGTCGCCCTCCCGGTGATAGAACAAGTTGCCGGACTCGAGGATTGCCGTGTCCTCCCCCTCTCTTCGGACCTCGGATAATCCAATAATATGCCAGCGCAACTTGTCTACCTCTTCTTCCAGCTCCAGTATCTTCTCGTCAGTCCTCAGGGTGCGTGCGTTATATGTTGCCAGGTCGAGTCGTCGTAGGTGGCAACCGAACCTCCACCGGAGATTCTTAGCACCCCCTGCCCCGCCGTTACCATGGTCGCCACCGTAGCCAGGAATAGCGGGGCCGCCGGGGACTGGGGGCCGTCTGTTTGTGTATTTATTCATTGGGGGGTATTTGCCATAGTTGCCACGCTTGGCGAGCGGGTTGGCAACCGCAGTTTTTTATTACGTCACAGTTGTCATCAGGAAGACGCTGCTGCCCATCTCCTGCCTGTCTCCCTCTGTCGCCTCTTACGACACCCACGGGAAGATATGGGGTAGTGGATATTCTTAACCGCCACTACACGGCAAACCGCCACTACACGGCATCTCTATCAATTACGTCATCTCTACTTAAATCTGTTTCTCTATTAACTGCACTTAATATTTCTTTCAATTTCATTGTCATAACTTTACTCCTACTTTAACAATATTTTTATTATCATATATTATGGCAAGAAAGTCAACCCTACCTAATTTTTCTTAGTAAGCACACTAACTATGAAACAGTCTATATTACCATCAAAAACAGAATTTATATTGCCCACTTCGTGCCCGGTTCTTAAATCTTTCACCATTTGATATGGATGCATAACGTACGATCTGATCTGATTGCCCCAGCCTATATCGCATTTTTTACCATACTCTTCAGCCATTTTCTATTCTTTTTTTTCCAGTTCAATTTGGTACAAACGTCCTTTAAGTAATTTTAACGCCTCCTCTTTATTTCTGTGTTGAGAACGACCATTTTGGCATTGAACTACAACACCAATTGGAATATGCGTAATGCGTACCGCACTTTCAGTCTTGTTCACGTGCTGACCGCCTGCTCCGGAAGCACGGTAGGTGTCGATCTTTAGATCCTTTTCATCCACAGCAATATCAATTGAATCTTCTGTCACTGGAGTTACTCCTACACTTGCAAAACTGGTATGACGTCTACCATTTGCATCAAACGGCGATATTCTAACCAGCCTGTGAATTCCACTTTCACTTTTTGCCCACCCATAAGCTTTTTCTCCAACGTGATGATTAAAAAGATAATGATTAAATATCATTGCAGACTTTATACCAACCGACTCTCCTAATTTTTCTACAACTTCAACTTTAAAGTTGTGATAAATTTCTGCCCATCTTACATACATGCGCATCAGCATTTCAGCCCAATCATTGCTCTCTGTTCCACCATCTCCTGAGTGGATTTCTAAAAAGCAGTTATTGTTATCTGCTTTACGAGTAAATAAGGATTCTGTCTCTTTAAGTTGGATTAATTGCTCTAGCTTAGCTAATTCACTTTCAACTTCAGAAAAAAATTCTTCATCATTTTCATCAATAGCAGATTTCATTAAGCTAATAGCATCGTTGTAATCTCTTTCCAGCTTTAAAAACAACTCTACGTCATTATTAATTTTAGAACGTTCTTTTAAAATTTCTTGTGCTTTTTGATTGTCTTGCCACAGATTATCATTCGACGCTTGGGAATCGAGCTCTTCAAGACGCAACCTTAATTTTTCTATGTCAAAGACACCTCTTGATAAAAGAAATACTTTCATTTAAACCTTGAAAGTATTCGAAAATTTCTGAATAAGTTTTTATTATACTTTAGATTTTAATATATTTGCTATTACTAACAATAACAGCAAACAAAATAGAAATTTAACCATATGATAGTTAATTCAAAGTAATTTCATTATACTTTAATGTTTAAGGAAATCAAGTGTGTATATTTATTAAAAACAAGGTAAAGTAATGAATATTAAAATAAGTTCTCATTATGGTTTAGACAAAAAGGCTATCGATGACTTAATAGAGTCAATTGATAACGAGGAGCTAGAAAATGTTTGTAATATTGTAAAAACGATAGATAGCGTTCAGTTAGCTTATTTTTTATCTACTTCAATCAGTGATCACAGGGAGAAATTAGTTAATATCCTTGATCAACATTTGTTAAGTGATGCCCTAGTGCATGTAGTGCCAGATTTACAAAGAGAGATCATAGAAACATTGGGAATAGAAAATACAGCAAAGTTACTAATGCTCCTTGATATAGAAGATATAGTAACCATAGTGAAAGATTTGGATAGAAAGTCTATAGAAAACATACTTAACTACTTACCCAATGCAACTCAAAAATTAGTAGAGGAATTGTTATCATACCCAGAAGAAAGTGCAGGAAGGTTGATACATGAAAATATGGTTATAGCTCATATTATTGGACGATAAATCAGCTAATGGAATTCTTGCGCAACTATAAAAAAAATACCAGAAAGATTTCACCAGATATTCATTATCAACTCAAAATTAGAGCCTATAGGCAGTGTTAATTTAAATAAGGTAATATCTTACTCAGGAGACACAATAATAAAAGAGATAATGGATAATGACATAAAAATCATTAAAACTGGAGTAGACCAAGAGGAAGTATCAAGAATATTTAAAGATTACTCTCTATTATCGGCTCCGGTAGTAAATAAGAATGGTAAAATTATTGGTATGATCTTAATTGAAGATGTGATAAAAGTTGTTCAACAAGAAACAGAAGAGGATGTACTCAAAATAAGCGGTGTATCTTCTAAAGCCGATATAAATGCCCCTATACATAAAACTATAATTAAAAGGCTACCTTGGTTACTGTTTAACCTCTTAGCTGCAACAATGTGTTCCATAGTAGTTGGCTTTTTCGATAATGTAATAAAAAGTTTTATAGTACTGCCAATAATCATGCCGATAATTGCATCAATGAGCGGAAATGCAGGATCCCAAACAGTAACGCTAACCATCCGGGCAATCGCAACAAAATATCTAACTGAGCAAAATGCAAAAAGAGTACTGAAGAAAGAATTTTTAATAGGTCTTATAAACGGGGTAATTTTATCTACCATTTCACTCGTAGTATTAGCAATAAGATTTCACAATTTCAAAGTGGAAATGATTTTTGTAGTCTCCATGATTATGATGTCAATTATTGCAACTTTCATCGGAACTTTCATTCCTATAATGCTTCACCGTTTAAAGTCTGACCCTGCAGTTTCTTCTTCAATCCTAACATCGGCAACAACTGATATTCTCTCAGCTCTTATGTTTCTTGGTTTAGCTATGATCTTTTTATTAAACAGTTGACAATATCAAGTTTCACAACTTTACCAACTATTTCTTTCTATTAAATAAGAGTAAATTACCTATACAAAAATAGATTGGCAATATTTCAAGTCTACCAAGCAGCATCAAAAACGACAAAAATAATTTTACTTCATTACTGAAAGAAGAATAGTTACCTGAATGGCCTACTAAATTACTAAATCCCGGGCCAGAATTTGTAAGCGTTGCAGAGACTGAGCTGATGCCAGTTATAAAGTCTGCATTGCTTAAGTAAGACATCACTATTGATGACATGGTAAACGTTAACATGAAAATTGCAAAAAATATAAAGACAGAGTGAACTTCATCATTCTCCAGGTTTTTTCCATTGAATTTTACCATATTACCTTCACCTGGGTTTAATAAAAGGCGAAAGTGATTTCCTATAGACTTTAGAAAAATGATCAAACGAAAGATTTTGATGCCACCACTTGAAGAACCACTACATCCACCAACAAAGGTTAGAAAAAAAAGCTAAGACTGAAATGAAGCTCCAATCTATATGATTACAGATTGCATAACCAGTTGACGTAATTAAAGAGGTGATAGTAAAGTGCTGTATCTAAATGATAATGACACTCCTAAATCAACATTTTGATACAACCAAAAACAAGCAAATAAAAATGAAACAATAGCCACCTTAACAAAGTAAGAGACCTGTTCATCATAGCAAATGTCTAACTGTCTTATGATTTTTAAATAGCTAAAAAAAGGTAGAGAACCCAAAATCATAAAAATGATCATTATGACTTCTAACATAGGGTTATTGTAGTGCCCTATAGAATCATTATAGTTAGCAAATCCACCAGTTGATACAGCGGACATTCCGTGACATATTGCTTCAAATAGTGGCATACCAGACAGATAATAGGAAAATATACATAACAAAATTAGGCCATAATATATTGCTGTAATATGAATTACTACGCTTCGCGTGTTCGGCAACTTCCTTTTTGTAGCATCTGAATATTCAGAATAAAGAAAATTATTTAGGCTGAGAATCTTAAACATAGGAAAAACTGCAATTCCTAAAAAGATTACACCAAAACCCACCCATGTCATGTAGCATTGCTCTCCATAGCAGTATTCCTGGAGATTGTTTTTCAATATCATTAAATATAGTTGCCCCTGTGGTTGTGATGCCAGATATCATTTCAAATAATGCGTCAACATAGCTCAGATTGTCAAAATAGAAAGGAATAGCTGCAAACAAAGACAAGGCAATCCAGGTGCAATTAGTAATTGCAAAAACTGCCGGCATGCCATTTAATTTACCGAATAAAATAAAAATTACGCCAGATGTGCAGGTAATTATGAATCCAGCGAGAAAATTTTTCATTCGTAGCTGAGACATTTATTAGTAATAGCAGGAATAAGCATTGCTCAGCTAAATAACAATAGGAATATTCCCACAATAAACACAATTGAACGTAAAGTTTGTAAACGTAGATGATTTTTCAGAGAGTTATTTACTCGCTATACAAAGCCATAAAAGCTACTCTAACGTCAAGCATTTTGTTGGCCTTTATTCGGTTTAAATTTCTTTATTTACTCATTAAGACTAATGTCACTTACATGAGTACATTCATACAATTTTAATTAAATCACACAGAACAATATAATAAAATAGTAGACATATATTAGGGTAGATCAAAATTAGATATATAGAAGTTGCAAGTTAATTGCGTAAGAGCGATGTTTCAAGTATTGATAATATAAGACGGTGGTCCAAGTTATAAAATGTCTTGTTTTTTAATGTGGTCTAATAATTTTTTCTTGAAAATATTGAGTGAACTTGCATCTTTTATAGTTGAAGGGAGTTTATTATACAACTGTGCACCCGCAAATGTTACGAATATTTGGTAATACAAGATGGTTTGCGCGGCGTGATGAGTATTTTAGCGTTTCTCCTTTTGTGGTGAATGTTATATTTGAATGAATCATATTGTGTGTGATTTTATATATTAATATACATGTGTTATAGATGTATAATTGTTTGATGTTTAGTAATTTCGTCTCATGGTATATTGTTTTGGTCGAAGTTAAAAAGTCGTAATGATATAAAATTATTATTAATTTATTTTGCAGTACTTGTACCTTTTGTAGCAAAGTTTTAGATGCTGTACCCCATATCTCTATTAAGTAAATTAAGTGTGGTTTAACCAATGCGTTATAGATCAAAGGGCGAGCTTTCGGTGGTATACATCGAGCTATGCCATATGTAGAATCTATTAGAGATGAAAGCTTATTTTTTATAATTGATAAATGACCGTTCCATGACAGATGTTTATCAAGCAATAGCCCAAGGTATTTTTCTTGATTAGACTGGCGTAATATTTCTCCGTTAATGTGTAATTTTGTGTGGTGTTGAATTTTTTTGTTTTTTTGCACTAAATATTACGTAAGATGTTTTGGCGGTATTTATTGTTAATAGGTTATACTGGAACCATCTGTGTAGTGTGTTGAGATCTTGTTGAGCAAGCGTAGTAAGGTCATTTATATTCTGTCCAAATTAGAATAAACATGTGTCGTCTGCATACAGAGTGAGATGGCCGTGTAAGTCTACTTCACAAATATTGTTAACATACACAATATTATTAACAGTTATTAACAATATACTTGACTTACCCGTAAATATGTGTGATAATTAAACCTGGTTCTAATAAATAGAATTCTAATAAATAGAAGTAAAATATGATTGAAAACTTAAGCGAGAAATAAAAGGAAATTCAAGATTCATTACTTAAAGCAATGAATCACGGCTCTAAGAGCCTGTTAATAATCTTTTCAGAAGTAAGACAGTGAAAGCCAGAACGACCATTTGTAGGCTAGTATTGAGTTTTCGCTCACAATTTTCCACAATCTTCTACATTTTCCTAACCAAGTAAAAGATCGCTCTACAACCATCTTTTGGGCAATACAACAATGTAATGTAATTCATTTCTTTTTATCACTTCAACGGTTTCACCAATAATCGTTTTTATTTGAGTTGCAAAATTCTCTCCATTATAGCCTGCATCAACCAGTAAATTTTTAACTCACGAGAGGTTTTCTTTTGCATTTTCGACCATTCTCACAGCACTTCTAAGGTCAGTTATCTCTGCTATTGTTATATAAATTGCATGGGGCAAAACTTGCATATCTAATGCAATATGGCGTTTTATTTCTGAAATCTTTTTGCCTGCATCATAGCCTTTTTCTTTAGCATTATCTGCATTTTTACACTCTGTGCTTCAATTATGCAGAAGCTGGTTTTTTCCTTATGACCATTGTTTTGTTGGACCACGCCAACTATTTTTTTAACACCAGCTCCAGAACACTTTCTTTATCTGCATCTGGTTTTTCACTCCACTTCTTAAAATAGTCGTAACAATTGCGCCATTTTGGAAACGCTTTTGGTAGCATTCGCCACTGACAACTGCTTTTCAGAACGTATAACACTCCACAAAATACATTATACAAATCAAGTTTTCTTGGTTTTGTTTTTTTTTCTACAGGACTCTAGATCTGGTAAAATAATCTCAAATCTTTCCCGACTTATATCACTTGAATATAAACTCCTCATATATCCTAACTTATATACATTATCTCTTAGTTTATTCCTTTCTTGAGATCATGTACAGGTTCTAACGCAGTCAATGAAGTATTTGAACGTAACAAAGAAAATTATGATGATAAAAAGGAAACTTTAAAGGTGTTACCTATTCCTAGCAATCGAAAAGTTATTGTTTTACTTTATCCCCTCCACATCCTATCTCTGCGCAAAACAAAACTTGATGCAGGAAGTGTGGAACAGGCAGAAGCAACTATTAACACAATTTTGAACAACGTTAGTCCAGATATTAGTGATATATGGTGGGACAAAAATAGCCTCATAAGTGACCCTAAAGATAAGAGCAAAAATTTTGCTAAGGAACTTAACAACGGTAAAGAATATTTCAAGAGTGCCATTCAAGAAATTGAACAACATTGGAATAAGAGAGGAGAGAATGATGAGGTGTTAGCAAAAAATATTCAAGAAGAATCTAATAATGAAGGTTTTGCACTAATTATTAGCACTTCAGAAGAAGAACAGGCGGCATCAATTACAAACAACGCAACTTCAGTAGTTGGCGCAGCAAGCTCTTCTCCTGGAAATAACGATGCAAGCCCCCCTGGCAATAAGAAGGAGGATAACGTTGATGCAACTGCAACCTCAGTAAATGTTAGCAACACAAATACTCAATCTACTGCTAGTGGACAAACCCCAGAAAAGAACTATACAAACTTCTGTGGTAAACACAAAGGGAAGATTGCTCTAGGTGTTACTGGACTATGCGCAGCTGGTGCCTTTGCAGCCTATATGCTAGCGTATCCTGTAGTTGCACTGGCTTTAGCAGTTTTAGCAGCAGTTATATTAATGGGTGCTGGTATTGCTAAGGTTCGTTAGAAAGTGGAAAATCCAAGTGTAGACAAATCGTTTACACAACAAAAAGTATAACGTTAATAATGTCATCCCATCGCGCCGCGCTGGGATCTGACTACGCTGGACAAAGAATATGTATCCGTTCAGGAAAGCGACAAAATAAGGTAGACAAGGTAGTATCAAAAGATAACCATAAAAGTGAGTTTACAACAAATGGTGTCATGCCAGTGCGTGACATTGGCATCCAGTTGAGCTATTTCAACAAAAATACTGCATTTGAGGTAAACTTTTTTCTCACCAGGACCATTATCTACATATTACACTTATTTACGAGTATAATAATTAAAGTCTAGATTCCAGTGTCAAGTACTGGAATGACACCACTTTTGCTCAATATTTGCGCATTAGCCTTGCCCCTGAACAGTATCAAGAATATAAAAGAAGTGTTGTCGTTACGTTATATCATAAACTTTTGCTGAAGCTTTCTTTATATCTTCACTTGAAAGTGGAATTAGACCAAGCCTAGATAGGTAACCATCTTCAATGCTGATCGAGTCTATAATTTCTTTTATGAATTCTCTTAATCCATCAACAGTATCCAGGTGTTCTTTCTTTATATAAAGGTATAGAGGTCTTGCTAATATATATTTTCCCGATGATATATTTTCGTAAGTTGGCTCAATTCCTGCAATTGTGCTCCCTTGTATTTTATCTTGATTCCTCATTAAAAAGCTAAAACCAAATATCCCTAAAGCGTTCTTGTTACTTTTCAATTTTTGTATTATTATGTTTTCATTAATTCCAACTTCTATATACCTTCCGTCATCCCTTATATTACCAAATGCTTTCTTTCTTTCTTCCTGATCTTTATAATTCTCTTTGAAAATTCTAGAGTTCATGCATAAATATTGATTGAACATAATAGAATTAACCAAAGTTTCGTATGTCGGACACATACGAAACTTTGGTTAATTCTATTATGTTCAATGTATTTTGATGTGGACCATAAATTTCAATTTCTGTTTTTGGTAAGGCTTGATTTAAATCAGACCAAAACTTCTTATTATTTTTTACTAATTTATCATTTTCTTGAGAATATGCAGATAAAGTTTCAAATAAGTCCTTCTTTGTGAAATCTAATCTATGGCTTTGATTTGAATTTGCAATGACAATTCCATCATAGCCAATGATGATCTCTATCACTTCATTAATTTTATTTCTTTTACATAGTTCTCTTTCTACTTCCTTCATAGGGCGAGATGAAGTGGTGATGTCTGGCACGTCTTCCCCTATTCCTGAGCAAAACATTTTGAACCCTGACCCACTTCCTATCGATTCCACAACTGGGGTCTTAAAAGAGAATACACGATTGAACTCCTCGGCTACAAATGAGATAAAAGGAAAAACGGTTGAAGATCGAACAATTCTGATGTATTTCCTGGCATCAGCATTTGACAGCGGCGTGAATAATATGAATACAAAAATCAGGAGAAAGTTTCTAAACATTGTTTTTAGCTAAAAACATAAATCTAATTATTGATATAAAAAACCAAACTGAAAAGCTTAAATTACATGATAAAAGCTACAGTTTACATTTAAATTTTATTTTATATTATTGTAAGTATTACACAACTTTAAGGGGCAATTATGGCAGTTATGCCAGATAAATGGATAAGAGAAAAAGCTGAAAATTTTGGAATGATAGAGCCTTTTGTGGATCACAAAAGCAGCAAAGGTGTTATATCTTTCGGACTATCGTCTTATGGGTATGATGCAAGAGTGGATAATAAATTTAAATTTTTTACTAACGTTAATTCAGCCATCGTGGACCCTAAAAATTTCTCTGAGAGTAGTTTTATAGATAAAGAAACAGACGTATGCATAATTCCACCAAATAGCTTTGTGCTTGCAAGCACAGTGGAATATTTGCGTATACCAAGAAATGTACTGGTCATTTGTGTTGGTAAATCAACTTACGCAAGGTGTGGAATTATAGTAAACGTTACTCCCTTAGAACCTGGATGGGAAGGTCATGTCACACTCGAATTCTCAAACACCACCCCACTTCCTGCAAAAATTTACGCTAATGAAGGCGCATGCCAATTTTTAAGTGGCGAAAGTGAGTGTGAAAAATCATATGATGATATGAAAGGGAAATATATGAATCAGCATGGTATAACTTTGCCGCTGGTGAAGTGATTACTACTTTTGTTGTGAGCTACTAACCTATTCTATAGACAATATCCCACTATGACCAGATAGCAAAGTTCGTGCTGATTCACTTTGCATTAGCGCTTGTTTTGCTTTTTGTTGAGTATCTCCTGTACGCATGCTCATGCCAAATTGAAAATCTACACCATTTTCTGGAAGAATATTACATTGAAAGCTGAAACCAGTGGCAAAACCTTTTTGTTGACTACGAAGATCTCCAACCATGATTCCTTTCATGCTTACACTGCGATCATTTCCAATGTTCGCATCACTGCTTTACCATCTTGTATACCATCATTATTTATATGCTTTGCTATAAAAGTCTCATCTACACCTTCTACTACTCGAGATGTTACCTCTATATTTGGTTGATTATGTAGCTGACCACTTCTTGTTAATGATTGACGTAAATCAGTATTTAATTGATCCTGCTCTGTATCATTCTGTTGCCCTAACTTATTAGCTTCTTCTTCAACACGCTTATTATATTCTTCGCCATTATTTGCCTCAATTTTATTTACTGTTTGAACTCCATCGTTTTCGTTTTGACCAAACATGTCTTTATTGATAGCTCGAAAAATAAGAAATGGTATCAGTGAAATTATTAGATTTAATACAATGCAAGGAATTAAAACTACAGCAGCAGCTATACAGATTAGAGATTTAACTATAAACTTTATTACTTTAGATAATTTAGAATCATCTTTTTTAGCACTAACAGCATTCAAAAAAAGCATAGTTAAGCTAAGAGATAATGCCGTTATAGCAGTAGGCACGATGATTGGAACAAATAAAAAAGCGTTGATTAATTTTTTTCCAGAACTAGTTGTTGTAGTGCTATTATTCAGTGATGCAAGATAGTTTTGACCAACATTAGTAATCCATTTTGTACCAGACAAGAATCTTTTACTATTCTCTTCCGACATTTCAAATTTCATTAGCACCCCCAGATTATAATGCTAAATTGTACTAAAAATTAATATAAAATCAACCCAAATTTCTACTTCCGCACTTTTTCATTGTTGCTTACTATGATTATAGCTACATGATTTACTCGTGTGTTTTTCTTGATTAAAAACTTCAACTATTTATTGTAAGCTGTTGAATTTCGTACTATTTAGTGATAAATTGTCATCCAAGTGGCTGTAAAACGACAAATTCGTCATTTCGCTACTAGTTAGCGGAATCTATGCCGAGATACCGCGAATGAATCGTGGTATGACGATTCGTGGCGGCATGGCGTAGGAAAATCTAGCCTACATTAACTATATAAACAAAAAGTAGGATTATCATGTCCACAATAATTTTATCATCAATTTTTGGTCAAGCAGGCAGCATTTTTGGTCCAAGTGGCCAGATTATTGGCTCAGAACTTGGTGCTCTTCTTGGTGCGCAGCTTGATGGTGCGATGTTTAGACTTGATGCTGAGCAGAAAGTAACGCATGGTGCGAGAATAAAAAATCTGCAAGTTCAAACCTCAACCTATGGAAGGACGATACCAATTATCTATGGCACTGCTCGCATTGCGGGGAACATTATTTGGTCACAGCCAATAAAAGAAGAGGCGATAACCATCAAAAGCAAAATTGGAAGAAGTATGAATGTTGAGTATAATTATTATGCAACGCTTGCAATTTAGATCTGCAAGGGGAAAGTAGAAAAATTAAACATAATCTGGGCAGATACAACATCACTTAGCTTTGATGAAATAGATTATACTTTTTTCCGCGGGAGAGAAAACCAAAATCCTGATCCATTTATGTCGTCAATCGAAGGTGTGCCGGCTTGTAGGGGAATATCTTACATAGTTATCAAGAATTTTCTTTAGCAGACTATAATAACCGCTTTCCGGTATTCACATTTGAAGTGCAGACTATATTAAAGCCTAGCGGATTTTCAGTAGTAGAAAATGTTCAGAATATCAATATAATACCAGGCTCAGGAGAGTTTGTATATGATACAAAAATACAGAAGAAAATCGCGCAAGAGAAAATAAGCAGCAACTAATATATCCCATATGGGCTAGCACAAAGGGTAAATCATAACAACTACACTAAAAAGAGCGATGCAGTGCTTTCTTTGGATCAATTAAAGGGAGATTTACCAAATGTTGGGTGGGTAGGTAGTAGTCAATTGGTTTGTGAATGATCTGAACATTAAAGATTGTAAAATATACCCTGCAGTTGAATTTCAAGATGATTCCGCAATATTACCTGATGATTGGCAAGTAGGAAGTAGTACCAGAGATGATGCTCAGATAATTTCAAAAGATGATAATGGAAACCCAAGATATGGTGGCACAGTTAGTGGTCCAGCGCTAATAAGGTATATAGAAGAGCTACACAGCAGAGGCTACAAGGTGATGCTCTATCCGATGCCCTTACTTGATATTGTTACGAGCTTGAGGTTCGTGACAATAAAAATTGCCGATAAAATTACCTAAATTAACACTTTAATTTACTTTACACAAATTAAAGTTAAAACACTAATAATTAAACACACTAATTCACTTAATTCCGCCCGAAACTTCGCTTGTTTCGCCCAAATCAACACTGCCTCGATCGCACCTTGCAGCGCCTACTTATTTAAATTAGCAAATATCCAGAATGTTCAAGCAAACACGCGTAAGGTACCGAGAGTCCGAGTATAGATTTTCTAGAAACTTAGTTTCTTCGGATGGCGCTGTCGGTTGTGATGTCATTCACTGCAAAGCTCCCCTCGCTCTCGTTCCTGACACTAGATGGCGCTAGTGTATCGTCGACTTTAGCGCGTAACACTGCCCCCTCCTAAGACATGCTCGTCCCGAGCATTATCGGCCCCATAAGAACGCGCCAAGCGATTCACATAGACGATCTTAGGAGTCCCTCTTGCGCCTCTCTGTAACGGCTCCGCAATGTCAAGGGCTGTCCTATCCCGTGGTGCACCAACATTTTACAATTTCGGTGCTCCTCTACTACGTGTCCGAGGTCCCCGCACGGCCGCACAACTTGTACATGTACGACACCAATCCTCGACATCGTCACGATAATGGACCCAGTAAAACTGTTCTCGGACCTTCAGTAGAGTTCGTTTAACTCCCAGATGGACTCTTGAACGACCATTATGGCACAACTGTAGAACATTCGGCACTTTAGCTTTAGGGACAACCATTTGCAAACGACAGCTGTCTCTTCGACCATTGTCCCATTTACGGCACAGGACTCCATCCTGAATCAGCAAGCTGTCCCATTGGGCCCAATAGCTTTTCGTGGTTGAACTCATCGCTGAGACGTCGCTCCACTTAGGCTTGGGAGCACTGGCCCTTATCCATTCCAGAATCGGCTTGATGTCCGGATCTTCCTGCTGTGCATGTTGTAAGCTGTCCTTCCATTCGTTGCTGAGGTGGTCCGTCCTGAGCATCCTCACGGATACCTCTTCCTTACTCTCTTGCCTAGTACAATGGTTGCAATCTTCAGGACAAGGTCTTCTTGACAATGCATCTGCGTTGCCGTGAGATTTTCCGCTGCGATGTTCGATCTCAAAGTCGTATTCCTGCAGTAGTTCAATCCACCTCGCAACTTGTCCTTCTGGATTTTTAAACTGCAATAGCCATTTTAGTGCAGCATGGTCAGTTCGTAAGTGAAACTTTCGTCCCAGAAGATATTTGCTAAAATGCTGCAACGACTTTACCACAGCGAGCAATTCGCGTCTTGTGACACAATAGTTCCTTTCCGGTTTTGACAACGACTTGCTGAAGTACGCTATTACGACCTCTTGGTCACCATTCCGTTGAGACAACACACCGCCGAGTCCTATATCACTTGCGTCTGTGTCAACTATAAATTCTTTGCTTGCATCAGGGTATCCCAAAGTAGGTGTTTTGCACAGACGGTCCTTGAGCTCCTGGAATGCGATATTGCAACTTTCATCCCAGCAGAAATGTCGCTTCTCCTCGGTTAGCTTGTGCAGAGGTTTGGCTATATCTGCAAAGTTCTTCACGAATCGCCGGTAATAGGAGCACAAACCCAAAAATGCTCTAACCTGCGTCTTGTCTTTTGGAACCGGCCAATCCTTGACAGCGGTGATTTTCTCTGGATCTGTGCGGATACCTTCTTCCGATACTACAAACCCCAAAAAGTTAACTTGCCGTTGAAATAGTGAACATTTCTTCGGGCTCAACTTGAGGTTGGCACTCTGAATCTTCATGAGCACGCGTTCCAGGTTTTGAAGGTGTTCCTCAAACGTACGGCCCACGATGATGATGTCATCCAAGTACACCAGACAGGCATCGCCAATTAGCCCGGTAAGTACAAGTTCCATCAGCCTTTCAAACGTTGCTGGAGCATTGCACAACCCGAACGGCATTACTTTGAATTGCCACAGACCCTTTCCCGTCGAGAACGCAGTTTTCTCCTTGTCCTTAGGGTCAATTTCAACTTGCCAGTAGCCACTTTTTAGATCCAGCGTGCTAAACCATTTTACTCCTGTAAGCATGTCCAGCGTGTCATCAATTCTTGGCAAGGGATAGCTGTCCTTCTTTGGAACGTCGTTCAGACGGCGGTAATCAACACAGAACCGCATGCTGCCATCCTTATTTTTCACCAGCACCACTGGTGAACACCATGGACTAGAGGAAGGTTCAATAACACCATCCTTCACCATTCCTTCAATCATGGTTTCCACTTTCTTTTCACGTGCTACCGGCAATCTTCTTGGCCGCTGACGGATAGGCGATTCCTCTCCTGTGTTTATTTTGTGTTGAACTAGGCCAGTCTTTCCTATGTCAGCATCATTTGATGAGAATACATCGGCGTACCTGAGTAACAACTTCTTCGCCTTGACCACTTTGTTCGGGGACAGAACACTGCGACAGTCTTCCAAAAGTGTGGTCACTCTCGTTTCTGAATCCTTGCTGGGGGTCCCACTCGATATATATTGGCACTGACGTAACCAATCCACTTCCTCACAAGTACCAACCAGTGTGCCTTTTTCTATAATCTGTTCCCGGTCGCAAAGGTTCAGCACACGTACTCCTGAGATGTCAGTGGTCCTGACCAAGGTTCGAGCTACTTTCCATGGACGGTCATTATTTACCCTTTCCACAAGTACACAACGGTGAGCTTGCCCAGCGTTTCGAGGAAGACTAACCGGAACAATCGTTTCCGATCTCGGCGGAAGAACAATCCTCTTGATGCTGTACACGTTCCCTGGTAACGCACCTTCCATAAAAAGTTCCTCCTGTCCACATTTCAAAACACCTTGCTTAACGTCGATCTCGCAACAATTATTCCTCATAAAGTCTAAGCCTAGGATGCAGTCGTCCATTATATCAGGCACGATGACATTATGCAGGTAGATCACGTTGCCTAGCTTCAACTCCATCTCCTTCTCTCCACAGACGGGTATACGCTGACCAGTGGCTGTTACCAAATTAATGCGTTCTCGGTTGTATGCGGAGTCCCCAAGGAACTGCCTTATAAGTTGGGAACTAACAACCGTACGAGAGGCTCCAGTGTCTATGGTCAGTTTACACGGCATTCCGTTGACCTCGCCCTTGATGATTAGACTGTTCCCGTCA